CAGTGACATGGGAACTATTTGTTTAATAAAAGGAGATACTTCGTCTTGTCCTCGTTTACCACCAGACCCATTCTCTTTGCTTCCTTGTCGAACTTGGAAAAGGCAGAACAGACTTCGCGGTTTTTCCTACCGATGATGTCAGTGTCATCGGCATAAGCCAGCAATTGCACGCTCTTGTAGTAAATTGTTCCTGAGCGATTCAGTTCTGCAGCTCTTATTATCTTCTCCAACATCAGATTAAAGAAGTCACATGAAAGGGAGTCGCCCTGTCTGAAACTTCGTTTGGTGGCAAACGGCTCGGACAGGTCTTTCCCAATTTTGACAGAGCTGGTGGTATTGCTCAACGTCATTTTACACAGCTGTATCAGTTTGGCGGGGATACCAAATTCAGACATAGCGGCGTATTGGCAACTCCCTTTAGTGCTGTCTAAAGCTGCTTTAAAGTCGACAAATGGGTGGTGGTCCTTTTCTCGCGGGTCTTATCCAAGAATTGGCGTATTGTGAATACCTGTTCTATGGTGGATTTGCCAGGCCTAAAGCCACACTGATAAGGCCCAATCAGTTCATTGACGGTGGGCAAAGAACTTGTAACCTGTGCGTAGAAAGCTGGTCTCGCAGTAGTTGGCGTGAACGGTGGGGTTTCCTTTCTTGTGCATTGGGCATATTCTGCATAAGAGTAGACGCATGCGTCTTATGACCCACCAAAAACTTTTATTTTTTCGAAAGCATTTATTTTTTGTAACGATGTAATAATGCATTCCAATATGCCTGAAGGCGATATTTTAAACTTTTCGCTTTACGATTTTTCGCTTTCCCATTGCATTACCAGTAATGCATTAATCCGGTCTATCTCTTCTTATGTGGCACCATTTTTCTTTGAAACTTCTTGGCACTCCTCATCCTACCAGTTGTTCTTTCGGGCCCGCTGAAATCCGGCTACTTTTTCGGCGGACTATTTTATGAATGGGAATCGCGGTTGCACTGCTCGCGCATGTAGGTTAGTTGAAGAGTGCTCCCAAATAGCAGATGTGAGAGTCGAGTGGCGAATAAATTGGCCGCCTTTGTGATTGCAGACTTTCGACGATGTGCTTGCCTTGTTGGGCGCACATTTTTTCCCGCACAGAGGCGGGTGGGATATTGGCTGCAACATGATAGTGGTCGTCGTCGATGTTTGGCCATTGACGTATGTACGTTTAAAATACTGCGTGCCTTCCGTCTATCACAACATCGATTTAGTGTCTTGTTTTTCGATCTGCCAAGAAGCTTGATGCATCTTTTCATACTGGAATCTAATACTAAATATTGCCTTATTTCGCGCCCTGGCCAACTCGATCAAACTCAGTCCTTTGTCGGACGTTTCATCGTGAAGGCTGAGTGTACCTACGTCTAAAACACTGGAATCGTGCCTTCCGTCTATCACAACATGATCGATTTGGTTTTTCGTTTTTCGATCTGGAGACGGCCATGTAGTTTGAGGGAAATTTTTATGCTGGAACCTAGTACTACATATTACCATGTTCGGAGCCCGGCGAAGTCGATCAGCCTCAATCCTCTGTCGGACGTTTCGTAGTGAAGGCTGAATTTTCCGACAGTGGCGCCAAAGATTCTTCCCTTACCATGGCATTGAAATCGCCAAGGACGATTTTGATCTCGTGACTAGAGCAACGCTCGTGTGTGGATTGTGGCTAGATTTTCGTCCGCCGGAGTGAACGACATTGCTCGGCGACAGAGTCGCTTCCACCACTAATCCAACCCCGAATTTGTGCTCCTTTACGTGGCATCTCTCAAGGCTCCATCCTACGCCACGTTCATCGTATTTTTCTTGAATGGCGGTGATGTCAGCTTTTGTCCTTTTGAGGACATCAACCAGCCGAGCATAGGCACCTTCCCCATTACGAGTCCGAACATTCCCGGAGCAAAAGACCTTGAATAGTTTGATTAAATTTGTTTACATAATTTTCCTTGAAATATGAAATGAATTTTTCAATTAAAAAATACCCAAAAAACAGCCCACTGTGCATCCCGCCGCGCTAAATCCGCAATCGGATCAATTGTGCCGTTAATCCGGATTAACGTTGACGTCTGTCTATGATATTACACACGCAACTCCAACCGCACATACATATGTACATACCAACCACAGATAACATACTCATATCCGAAATCAAAGTGTTTGTTTCCTTTTTCCTGACTTTACCGTCGGACCTCACTTTTAACTTCCTTGTTCTTCTTCGTATTTCGTTCGACAATCCTTGCACTTTCCCAATAGCAGTTTACGTTCATAGTACCTATGTATCTATGTATATGTAAAAACCTATACTAATCTATTTACATATGTATGGATGCATGTATGTACATGTATATATTTATTTTTTTTCGTACCGAATTTGTTCGATTTTGTCGGTTGTTGTTCGCCATTTCTTGTTGTTATTGTTCTCTTGATTTTTGCTATTCCTCAATATTATATTTTTTTGTTTCATGCGCAAAGCGACGATGGCCCCAGCAGCGAAGCGCACGTTGATTGCCATAGTATTTTCATGTATGTTGTGGTTGTATGTATTCCATTTGCTGCTCAGTCAAAGTTGACGACAATTTCGCCGTTGTCGGGCATTCTGCTTCGCCTTTGTGTGGGACTTCGTCTATTGTTTTGCCTGATCTACTTGTGTTTCAATTCTGTACAAGTGTTTGCGCTTTTATTGTGTTTTTTGCTGCTACTACAAGTAGCCACAATGGTATTCCTTAAGTTATTACGTCATACAGTAGTCCAATTTCGTGTAGTCGATCCAAAAGTATTTGAAATAACTATACTTATAAGATTAAATGAAAACACTAGTTAGATTCGTGTGTATGCTGAGTTTTATTTATAATAATACTAGGTTTACATATAAGTAGATTATCCTCATTTCGATCTTAACTCCCTAATCTGTAAATATAAAAAGAGATTAGCCATGCAAAATTCGTCCCTCGTAAATCTGTAATTATAAAATAATAGGAGAAATGCCAAATGCAAAAGTAAATAAGAATGGACGCTATCAACAAAAAGAGGTTTGTAAGGATATTTTTAATAAAGTAATAAGTTAACATATAGGTACTTAAATTGCTTAATATAGCTGAAAAAGTGATCACTGTGGCACGGAGAAGAAACTTAACTTTTCCTTGAGATGTGAGAATAACAAGCACAACAAATTTAATGGCTAATAATCTTAGTTTTGCCTGTGCAAACGGGGGGATTACAAAACGAGTTTTGATTTAGATTATATTTATATGTAAACATTCTTTAAGTCTGTATAATAACTGAATGCTTACAAACAATCCTTGTCTTGCTTACCATTTCCAAAACTTGTTTAGTTTTTGCCTTGGTAGCCAATATTATCGGTACCAAATATTTGATAGCCACCATTCATAATTTAGAGATATAATTACATCTTTTATTCATTTGAATAATCGGAAATTCGACGGGGATGGGTAAACCAAGATGGCATTATACTTCCGATCCCGTCATTAGTTTTTTATTATAATTTGTACAGCGAAGCCGCTATATTTTAATTCGCAGCACTATGTGGTTACGATGTTCATACCAAGGATGGAATGATGCTGTCAGAAGGCTAAAATTATAGAACAAAAGTATGTGCCAATTCAGCTGAGAGCAACTATGTGTGACGACATAATAATGAGTGAATGAGACAGTAAAGAATAATTTTGTAGAAGAAGAGGAAGAAGCGAACATGCGGTGGGAAATAGTGATATAGCCAAATATCAAGAATGATAGAATACAAGATTGCGCAATCCTGGCGGCGATGACATTTGTGTACCACAAGTAGCAAATTTTCTTAATATTAAATTTTTCGACAGTAAACGTATTTTAATTGTGCTGAATTGTAAGAATATGTAATTTACAATAAGAATTAATAAAGAAAATGTGAAAAAATGGTGATTTTTGTGCAAGTGTTCATTGTGCAATTATCGAAAAAGTATCCACATTAAGATACATATTTACTTTAAGGTAGGTACGTTAGGTACATCTTTTCGGCAAATAGGTACAATGTGAAAATGTGAGGATGGATGTTGTCAAAGCGACAAAGAGAGGATTAGCGGGCCGCGGAAGCGCCACCTTTATTTCGCTGCATCGTGGTAAAAAGGAGAATTTGTTGCACGATGTAGAGAACAATGGTGGCGCATTCATTGGCACCGCTAATATGGTTTCTGATTTTGTCAATTCTCCAGTATAATTGACCAACCACTTGGAAAATAAACTAACGCTTAAGTGCACTGAAATTCTCTACTACAGCTTACCCAAGTCACTGGTTTTAATATTTACTTTATTTATTTTTTATATAGTAATAACAATAATATCTACTACGGCGCTTAAACTTTGGCTAAGTCTTTGGCCGAACTTCTCCTCCAATTCGAGGTGTGCGTCTTGATGGTTTTACACAAATGAAAGGACCAACAGTTTCACGTTGCCTTTCAAAGACGATTAGTTTGATTTAAATATTAGAAAAACTTTTTATATTCTTTTGTTCATGATATTAAGTAGTTGAAAACTTTGCTCGGTTATAAGTCCTGCAGATTGCGTACTACACACTTTTAACAACCACACCGCACCGGCCCCCTAAGAAAAAATAATGTTATCTTAATTGGGTTAAAGTCGACAAAGATATGTTTCCTCTCGCGAGTATTTTCAAAGATGTGGCTTGTGGCGAATACCTGGTCTTTTTAGTGGGACAGAGTACACTTCAATTCTAGTCTGGCGGATAAATGAGATCATGCTTTTGGGGATCACTTGGAAACCATCCGATGATTCTGGTAAGACTTAAATATCTTATATGAACAGCGTAATTTCATCTTCAGTTTCGGAAGAACAGGCCACTGTACTTAGTGTCGTTGTGAGCGTGTGACTGGATGCGTACTCTAATCGTTTGAATACGTGTTTGTGTGCTGGCTATAGTCGTAGCCGGCGTCATCGTCATCGCAGTTGTCGCTGCGCTGGCGTTGAAGATGTCGGTGTCGTAGTCGCCGTCGTCGAGGAGCAGAAATCAAAAAGATTTCGAACGCAAACAGATGCGACGTGCCGTTCACTGCAACTGGTCGCACGTTTTCCCTCAACGCGAATTCGACATTCGTCACTCGACAAGCTCAGGCGTCTATTTCGTATTGTTGTCCCATCATAGGTTCGCAAATTGGATTTGGCTGCTGACTCGTACATAGTCGCTCAGCCACAACCGCGTCAGTCCAATTGAAATTTTGACGAGTCGGAAGTGTGTGTAACGTGTTTTCGTGGTTTTCCGTTATTTCGTGATATTTTCCTTTTGGATTATCAGTTAAATGCGTAAAAACATATGTGCAAATAAAAAACTAAATAGAGCTTGAAGTTAGTTGCGAAATTCAATAAACTTACATTGAAGCCTATAAACAAAAAAGTGGTGAAATATATGTATGTGTGTATCCGTTCATCTGCCAAGGCGCAGTTGATGCTCATTTAAAGCATCCCGTCAGTGTCGGGGGAATCTGTGTCACACAACCGAAAGTGAGACGTCTGACACCCGGCCTCAAAAGTCGATGAAAAAAGTATTTGTGGCAAAAACCAAAATTAAAATAATGAGAATTCAATCACAATAAAACCACGTCATCAGCCACGCATTTGTTGCCGTTTATTAAATTAAAAGTGTCATTAATCTGTGCATCAGCGAATGTGTGTGCTCCTGCTAGCGATTGCCTACTAGCCCTTCTTCCATCATTGCGCCAATTCGCACCCCACAAATAATTACGTGGATGTCGGCTGGTGCAGGTGTGTGTCTCAGGAACTACTTAACTCCTGTAAAGTGATAAATTTACAATTAATCTAGGGGGCTGGTCTTGTTGTTCCAAATGTGTTATGGTACAAACATTTCCATCCTACCTATTGTCACAGTTGTCGTTTAAGTGAGGCAAGTGCCGCATGTGCGACGTTGCAATTGAGGTTAATTAGTTAAAGTTGCAGCAGCCACAGGTGGATATCGCTGTTCGTTTTAGCCTATGTATTATGCACATATTTAAATACATACATATGTACATATGTAGTATACATTATGTGACCAACTATTTCCTAGCTCAAAAAAGTACAGCTAAGGTTGGGATAAGTTAACGCCGCGAGCCGATTAAAATTTCAAATGCGGTTAATTTCGATCCCTGAGAGCTCAGTGTTTGTTCAGAAGTGCGAGCCAAAATGCTTCCATCCTTGCCTTGCGATGGTTGGACAGTCAAAAAGAAAGTGTGGAGATGATTCCACTTCATCTTCCTCTTGCCAGCTGATACGAAACCATCAGTTGAAATTGCTAGTCCCACCGCATGAATACCAACCGCACAATGGCCTGTAAGAACCCCATCACTAGCCCTTGAGAGGTAACGTGTTTTAAAGTGCCCTATAAAAACATTTGCTGCAGCAGAGAAACGTCTTCACAAAAGTACCCGGTTTCCCTTAGCCTAATAGCAGTTTGCGCTGCGACAATTCTGTCTGCAATATCCGCAGGCGCCGTGTTCAACATATGTATGTTAAGCGCAAGTGTAGGTGTGATTCTTAATGGTCCGCTAATTCCTGGTTTACAAGTGTAGCCTTCTCTAGTGAGTTCCACCAGTCAATAAAGGCTAGTTTCCTAGAGCTAATGAATTAATTTGGCCGAGAGATCCTACATTTTACCGATAGCTTCCCTATAGTACAAGGCAGCCGACACCTTTCCTACCCTTTTCTCAATATTAGGCTTCCACGACAGCCGCCGTTGATTGCCCACCTAGTTACCTGGTTCAAGTACCCTTGAGCCAGATCAAAAAGGGTGTCTGTAATCATCCCTTTAAAAAAAACTCCACAACATCTATATATGCGATCACCCGACACCACACTTTTTCCAGTTTCTCTAGAAGGTCGTTTACAACCGCAATCCAGAACTGTGGAGAGAGAACACCACCTTGTGGAGTGCTCTTAATGAATCTGCACTTAGTGCTGATGGTTCCCACTCTGCCGCGACAGTTTTGTCACGATGTAAGCTTTACATATGCTTTATTAGGTTGGTTTCAACCCCCAGATAATGAGAATACTTGACTATTGCCTCTGAACTGACAAGGTTTAAGGCCCCCTCGATATCGAAGAAGGCCCGTACTGCATAATCTCCATGCGCGTAGGCTTCGTCTGACCACTTTACCAATGTGTGCAGGGCGGTATTCTCCGACCTTTTCTTGCAATAAGCATGTTGAGCTCTTGAAAGACAGTCACGAGGAATCGCGCTTCTTATGTACAGGTCTATCAGTCTCTCTAGCATGAGAGCATTTTCAGGCTTTCGGGATGAACGCAACACTAACTACCCTCCAAGCCTTGGAGATGTACCCTGATCCAACCAATTCCATGACACCTTCAGAGCCCTTTGCAGCTGCGCCAGTATGATGGCATCGATCCCCGGCGACTTTAACGGTTTGAACGAATTTATCGCCCAGGCCATGAGACGATCGTCCTGAAGATCGGATAAGTACAGGACCTGGGGGGAGATTCTGTAACAAAATAGCGACAATTTTCGACTTTTATATTATGCGTCAAAAAGTGCGATAGTGATCCGAAAGTTGTCGCTAACTGGTTACAGAATCTCCCTTCTGAGGTACAAAATGTCGCAAAGAAGTACATTAGACTGTACTTCGAAATACGAAGTACAAGAGCGAAAAAAAGAAGTATTATACTTCCGAAAGACGTACGGTTGGTCACATTAAGTATAAATATACTTACACACACTCACATACATATGCACATATGTACGTAAGTACGTGCGTTAGTTGCTCACGCAAAATTCTCATTCGCCAGCCGTAATTTTTATGAATTATTGTACATATGTAAATTGCAGAAAACTCTATAGTAAAATTTTAACTCTTGATTTTTATTATGCATGTACAACCCCATTCAACAGAATAGGCTCGATATCTTTTGTACAAATTTATCCTTTGAGTGCATCTTCTAGAATCTAGATTATTGACAGGTTGATTTCGTAAATGCAGTGTTGAAGCAAGTTCAATTTATAAACAATCAATATCGGAAACTTTTGTTCTTCCGTATGCTATTTTTTACGTTTCTTAAGCATGATTCTGAAAATGAGGATAATTTAATCGTTCTTATAGGGCAAGTTTCGAAATCTAGTATTATTTACATAGATATATATGTATGTGTATCATTCCTAACAAAATGTCTTTAAAAGTATGTTCACATATAAATATTATCTCAATCAAAGCTCGTTTTTTAATCACCCTGTTTACACAGGCAAATGTCAGATTATTAGCCGACAAATTTTTTGTACTTGTTATTCTCACACCTAAAGGAAAGGTTATGTTTCTTCTCTGTGCCACTTGATCACTGTTTTCTGCAATATAAAGCAATTTAAACATGTTTTAACTTAATATTTTATTAAAAATACCTTCCTTGCTAACGTCCATGTTTGTTTTCTTTTACGTTTGGCATTTCTCCTCTTCTTAATAATCGATAAAAGCAGGTTGGATGCCGAAAAATTATCGGTAAAATCTGAGATTATTTATAATTACAGATTAACAAGGGACGAATTTTGTATATCTAATCTCTTTTTCTAATTACATATTAGGCAGTTAAGTTTGAAAATGGGGATAATCTACTTATATGTGAACCTAGTATAAATCCTGATTCCTGTATAGAAAGGTCGAAGGAAATCTTTTAATGCAGACATTCAGCCTCATTGCGAGTGTCGTGTCGAGGACAAGTTGTTTTTCTAGAGTCGAATCGTATCGAAAATTGTATGACATTGCCAAAAATTTCGACTCGACTAGTGTATTAAAATAGAAAAACTTGGCAGTACTTTATAGTTTTCGACTATTTTCGTCGTTTACTTATTTCAGCACGACAGTAGACAATGCCGCTGTGGTGTAGTGGTAAGCAGTGCGCGCTTCCACTCCGCAGCACCTGGGTTCAAACCCTGGTCAAAGCAACATCGCAAAAAATATAGAAAAAGGTTTTTTCTTAACAGCGGTCGTCCCTCGGCAGTCAATGGCAAACCTCCGAGTGTATTTCTGCCATGAAAAACAGCTTCTCATAAAAATACAATCGCCGTTCGGAGTCGGCGTAAAACTGTAGGTCCCTCCGCTTTGTGTGACAACATCAAGGTGCACGCCACAAACCGGAGGAGAAGCTCGGCCAAACACTAACATATGTGTAAGCGCCAATCTATTATTATTATTATTAGTAGACAATGCCACTGTAGGCGAGTCGTACAATTTAGATTCATAAGAACAAGACTCAACTGCAAAAACTTTAAAGAAAGATTGACAAACAAAAATTTTATACGTAATTTAGAGGGGGGGGAAATTGGAGCAATTCTTAAAGGCTGCGCTGGTCTTTTACTCTATAGACAAACATTTCAATCTAACTAACTTTTGAAAATACATAGCCAGAATGGCGTTAATGCAAAAAATAAACTATTAAGCATGATAAGGTAAACGAATGCATTTTATTTTGATGACAGAAAATTTAACGTTGATGTTTCTGTCGAGCTCAGGCATTACCCTAAGCCACTTTGTTTAAAGGAACGCCTTCTTCAATATCCCGTTGGAGAGCAATAAAATCAGAATATTTGTCTTTTGCCTTGTAACGCGACGGCACTTTAAGAGAGCTAATTTTCGCGATTTCTGTTTGGTCCTAATAAAAATTCCTAAATCAATTAAAAATATCCGGAATGCTTTCTTTCTGGAATAAAACAAATCTGGAGGCTAGTGGTCTTAAACTATCAATAGTATGCGATAGTTCTTTAGAATCCATCGATAGCTATCGATAGTCTTTTAAACTTACAATTTGGCTTTATATTGCGATTGGCATATTTGTAAAAAATATTTCTTACAAAATCAGTAAATCACAAGCTTAAAATGAAGTTTGCTTAGTTCATTTTTAGAAATTTTACATTCTTTAGGAATTTTTCAAAACTGCATACGAACCAGAAGGAGTAGTTGCCTATTAAAATAATTCGGTTTTGTTTAGAGCTACTTACATCATCCAATATCAGACATTTTCTCATTCAATATCAGTTTTTTTACTTCATTCATTATCAGCTATTTTATCATTCAATATCAGTTATTTTATGTACTTCATTCAATATGAGGTATTTATCTTTTTCAGTTCTCTTCGCGAAACTATACATATTTTTCATTTATGTATCAAAAAACCCGCTGAAACAAGAAAATTCTGGTAAATGTACACTGCCGAAATACCTTTTATTAAAAGATGCTGTCCGACTGTGTCAAACGCGCATGCAAAGTGACAATAAGCAATAAAACAATAATGTAAGAAAAACAAAAACTATTGATGATAGTATTGAAAACTATCGATGGTGGTACGATATTCAAAAACCGTCGATAAATAAATATAAATAAATCCCAGAAGCCTTCCTATTTTGTATATCATATGCAAGGCATATCAAACAGGTAGAGAAAAAACCACATTAACGTGTATTTTGTTGTTCCTTCTGGTATCGAAAATGTCAAAAACTGTTTTTCTTTTAAAGCAAAGTGTGCCATGTCAAATATCAAAAATAAAAAATAAAAATTAAAATGGGAAAATATAACAATTGGTGTGACTTTATTTCTTAGTAAATTTGTTTGCTTTTCGAAGCATTGCATGGTGTCCTTGAACCAGATTCAACTGAATCGGTCTGGAACGATGGAACTTCCGATTCGAATATTTTGTGTGGTGTTTCCGAGTTAGAATACGTTAAGTTCAAAATCGTGGCAAGTGCCAATTTCAAAAACGGTATCTTTTTCGATTTTCAGCCGACATTTTCGCATTGAAT